GTTACAGGTGTATCACACCCATTTAATAAATAAAGGAAGTAAAATAATGGCAATATTGAGCATTGTTCGAAAGCATCATAACACTATTGTGTGTCCAATTTATTACAAATTTAATACAAATATTCACTGTCCTATGATCCATATGTGGTTCACAAAACGTAACAGTCGGTAGGCTTGATACGCCCTTGAACTACATGTGGGTCAGGACGTTTACAACTTCTATGGCAAATATCTTTGCGGAATTCGTCGAAACAGCACAGTTGTGGTTTGGACTAGGTAGGACGGTCATCGAATTTAGAAACACACCGGTACGTGTAGAAAATATTTTTATTTCTGAGAATATTACATTGAAATTATTATTATTAATTATTGTTATTATTGTTATTATTATTATTGTTATTATTATTATTATTGTTGTTATTATTATTATTATAAAGTCATTTGGACATACGGATATATTTTATGGTTTTCATGGAGACAGGGAATGTATCAACAAAAAGTACTTAAATAAATTGACGCAAATCCAATTATAAGTTCAGCTGGAACACTCCGTATCCTTTGTGATTCACTCGAAAACGGTCTGTTCCTGTCTCTATTTTCCGGATTTCAGACCGAAGTTATATTTCTTAGCGGTAGTGAGCTTCTTGGAATATGTTATTGTATATGAGATTTAGAGCTTCTGAGTATCGCAACACCGCAACATGTGTGGTCACAATCAGCTGAATCTCAAAATTTATGTAAAATTAAATTGACTTCTTTGTTTATTGCGAAATTTAAACTCACAGATGTAGTCTGTCTTTCTGCTTGATAGTAAACGCTTATCGGTATTATAATATTTGCCCACCCGGAGCGCCAGTCATATATTGCCATAACACACAGTTCATGGACTGACCGCTTGAAGCGGGTTACAAATGAATCCATTTTCACTTTTGAAAGAATTATTTGCCGATTGAGGAATGCTTGCTCAAATGTATCTACATTTATTTATTTATTTATTTGGTTTAATAAAACACAAAATATAGAAAATTGTGAAGACATTATGTCAGGTTAAATAGAGCTTTGTTTTGCTACCGAAAGTGCCTACGAGAGTAGGCAATCTTTTTAATACCCATAGATACTGAATCCTTATATTACTAGCCATTGTGCTTCTTAATCCCTTTGAATACAATAAACTTTGAAACGTTCTTCATTTTATTTATTCAAAAATTTTACAGTATAGATGGATTCAAGGCGGACAGGGTTTCCGAATTTTTAGGCAATGAATTGTCGGTAGAATAATCGAATCTGTATGTTTGTGTGTGTGTGTGTGTGTGTGTGTGTTATTTTCCCAGCAATACTACAGAAGTAAATCTGAAATTCGTTTTCCGATGCAAATTCACTTTTTATTATTCAGAAGTGATTATTTTTAGTTTTCTAATGTTGCCAACCATACTTCTTGATATTTTTACTCGTAATTCAGCAAAGTATACTTAATGTGTTGGGCAAAAATTATGGAGCTCGAGAAAACGTGCGCAAAATAAAATACTTTGCCCTCTAACATCATGTGTTTTTTTAGTTTATGATGATAAATAAATAATATTCAAAATATTATAATAATACACACAATGTCATTTGACACAAACCCCCATCAATAACTTAAACTAGTGGTGCACCAACAGCACGTACTTTCTCGCCTATATTTTCACACACAATTACGCGAAAGTACTCAAATTTTCGAAAAAGTTTACTTGACCTTATTTCAAAATCTACCATTAAGGAACATGTTTTATTAATGGAAAAATATGTCTCTTATATCTTAGCGCTAGAAAGACTTCGAAAAAACTTTGAACTTGGTCAATTTTCGAAAAATTAGTGCAACGAACAAGAGACCTGCACCATTCTCTTAAATGTTCTTCACAGTATCCAACAACAAAAGTTAATAAAAGACGATGGAGTCATTTTTTTGAAAATCTGGACAATTGACCAGGGTGTATGTAAAATACCCCCAAAAATTAAAATACCGGTTTCAAACTCAATGGCTCGTATCATCAGCCAGATCGATTGGAGAATATCAATCTTGAGAAAATCACCTGTTCGGTTTAGCCGCTAGCATTTCCACCGACGGACAGAACGTTTCGCGGTCATTCGATTTTTCAGTATCAAGGACCCACCAAACATGGATTCTGGTTACACCACGTGATAGAGAATTTTTCTTCTAAATTTAGCAGCTGGATTTATTCACTTTTTCGTTACTAGTGTCTCCAAAATTCGCCGTTTTCTCGCGTAGCATTGCATAACTTTACCTCCACTCCGTAGCAAACATTTTTATGACAAAAGAACATTTGAATTTGTAATTACTGAATTTACTTTAATTACTGAAATTAATTTTTAATGGTAATTGAAATTTCCATAAAATTAGAACAAATCAATGCATGTTGCAGAACAAAACAGACGGAGAATAATGGATAGTGAGAAATTTCACAACCGTTTTCATAAACATAAATTTACTGGCACGCACTGTTTTCGTTTCAGGAGTATTATCATCCCTCTTAAAGCATTGTATTTCATAATACATTTTATTAAAATAAAAATAATTTAGAACTTATTTATTATAAAAAATTAAGAAATAAAAATACTTTCTATGTTGGCGAATAAAATCTTTAGGTAAAAGTGTGAAAGAATTGTAACTTAATTCGAAAATTTGTTTTTAAGATTTTTCGGCGGAACTCCTTCGACATTTATGGTATTCATGTCACTTATTTCCTATGTATTTTTAAAATGAAGAACATTCACATAAACACACAATATGCTTTTACACACGAACACACACATGTTTATACATTTACACATATACATAAACACACTATGAATTTCATGAAACAGGAAGAAATGCAATTGTTGTTGGTTTAATACATACCGTTTTTTATCAGAGAGTGAAACGCTTTTGTTTACACCACAACAACGTGAAGCATATTGAATTATTCTAAATATTCGTGAAAGCGTTGTGCTCTAGCATTCTCTAGTTTCAAGTCAATTACAAGAAAAATGTATTGAATAACCGTGGGAAATACTAACACCGTGAAAAAGACGTTTAGTGACATTTACAAATAGACAGCTTATGGATTGTATCTTCGTAACTTCCACTACAGCTGCGTTTTAAGCCTAGCATACGCCGGTTGTCCTTTGGTCAGCAAAAGGGAAAGTCTGTAGGCGCCAGCCTCTGGAATGGAATTGAAAGCATTCTGTGGGAATCTGACTTCTCTCCACCTGAACTAAGAGAAAGGCTTTACCCAACGAAAATGTCATGTCCGTAAAGTTAGCGTACCCAT